CTGGTTTTGTGAACTTGGCACAAGGAAGTCACTTCCCATGGCTGGGACCACGGCCTGTAAACTCAGAAGCTGTTGGCTGCCATGTTTCTCACTGTGAGGTACACAGGAAGCTGGTCAGTAGAGAAAGAAAAAGAGAGATGGTCATGGGGGTGGATTGGACCTCTGAGAAGAGAAGAAAGGACAGTGATCCACGGTTGTCTGGGTGAGCTCCTGCAGATGCTGAGTCTGAGACTCCCCAGAACCTTTCTACTCACCCCTCTTTTAATCTGGCTCAAAATGATTTCTGTTACTTGCAGCTGAGAGAACAAACCACACAGTGCCCTGGGCAGTAATTCTTATTGTTTCAGTTTCCTTATGTATTCATTGAGAATCACCATTCATTTAGCAGCTGTTTATTATCAGGTCCTTTCTCAGTGCTGGGCACTGTTTTAGGTTCTGGGAGGCACAGTAGATGACATAAGGAAAAATTTAAAAATTTCTTTATGAAATTTAACTTCTACTAAGAAGATCTCTTGAGCCGGGCATGGTGGTACACGCCTATAATCCCAGTACTTGGGAGGCTGAGGCAAGAGGATTGCTAAATTCAAAACCAGCCTGGGCTACATAGTGAGTTTCAGGTCAGTCTCAACTACATAGTGAGACCCTGTCTCAAAACAAATAAATAAATAAACAAACAAATAAATAAAAAGGAAAAGTTTATATTTAAAAAAAAAGGTCTCTGGAGACTGCGGTCATAGCTTAGTTGTAGAAGACTTGCCTAGCATGAGTGAAGTCCTAGGTTCAAGCAAAGCACCAAGGGGGAAAAAGAGCCTCTGGAAATATTATATACAAAAGGCGTAGTTTTCAAATCAGGTAACAAAGAGCTGGTTGACCCAACTGAGCACAAGTCCCAGGCCTTAAATCATAGGGCTAGGGCCACTTAGAACAACATACACTTTAAAAAATTGATTGGATTAGAATGGCCCACCCTTGTTCAGCATCTTTTGACTCTCCTGATACTCTCCGTATGCCAGCATACCTGTCCCTAGTGATGGGAGTCCGTGCTTCTGCCCTCTTACACTGCTTGCTTTGTCTGTGCGCAGCTTCCTCAGTGATCACGGGGAGCAGCAGACTATGCACACGTGACGTATTAAATTCTTGGACAGTTTTTTTTTTTTATCTCATTTTAACTACCCTGCTCCCACCCGGTTAGGAAGCCTCAAAGAAGTGATGTGGGTCTCTTTTCCTTTGCTGCCTTCAGAGGAGTAACAACAAAGTGAGGAGGCAGAAAGTGAAGAATGTGGCTAATCTGCATGATAAATGCCCAAACTCTCCAACGATTTAGAAAGTGCATCCTGTAGGGACAGGATCTGCTGTGCTGCCTGGAGTCCCGTCCTCACGGCGGGCGCAAATCTTCTTACTTTAGGGAAATGGAGTCAAACTTCCCATACTTTATATATATTTTTTGCAATTCTAGAGACTGTTTAGCTGTACCCATACTTATGTAAAATCAGGCATCAGTACCCTTTACTTCTTTCTGGATATGTACAATGTGGATATGCTCATGTAATAAAGGACAATAATACTTAGCAACGATGGCTCGCATAGTCTTCTTTTCTCCCCTACTTTCTAGAGATAAAAAGCATGTCATCACCAGCTAACTAGAGGACAAGGGTTTTCAATAAAGACATATTCTTCAGGGCTAGGGATTTAGTTCAGTGGTTCCACCGCCTGCTTCAAAAGCACAAAGACTGGAGTTTGATCCCTGGTGGTACAAAAAAAAAAAAAAAAAAAAAAAAAAAAGACAGACTTCATAGTCAGCAGCATCTCGGCTGGAAGTGATGAGCAATTTAATTTTTTTTTTAATGTATTGCAAACCTCCAGTGCCTCTCCACCTCCCCCAAATTAATTAATTTCTGAGTGCGTGAGTGTGTGCCAGCACACAGACATGCATTCATACATGCACACACACACACACACACACCCAGCTTTGGTGGTGCCTGACAATGTATCAGGGCCTGCTTTGAGCAGGAAACAGCTATTTGTTTCCACCCTCTTGGAATGGTGTGGCTTCTGGCCTAGGAAACAGGTTTCTTGATAGGCTACTACAGCTGTAAGATTTCTACCTCACGGAGCAACTTCAACGACAACCCACGTCATCCTGTTAGCTTCTGAAACTCCAGGGGATGACAAAGCTTAAGTAAGACACTGATGATAAAAGAGAGGAAGTGCAGCAGAACCAATCTGGAGTCCAATGCAGGTAGCGGGTTTTGTTTCTCATCTCAAAGAATGAAGGGTGGACAAGAAAAGAACATAGACTCTCCAAAATGGGACGTGAGATCTGAATTCTTGCTGAAACTTTGGTCTGGATGGTTTTAGGAATGAAGGCCTGTCCTAACCTTACCCTGGCTGAGACTGCCTTCCAACCCTCCTGTGTACCACTTGTCCAGCTTATACTGTAAGTGGAAGAGGCAGTCAGGTAAACCTTTCTCCTACCTTTATCCTAAAGGCCAGGTGAAGACAAATGGTCAAGTGAATACTGCCCTATTATATTCATAAAGTAATTGGATGGATAGGCTCCCCTACCAGTTCCAGGCAGAAGAGGGACCATCCAAGGGTAATCAGTTCTGCTCTGTACCTTTCCCTCTCATCAAAACATTCTGGGATGACCAGACATTACACCCAATGCAAAGGTCTTTTCATGAGACTGGTTGATTATAACAAATTTCAGGTACTGGGACTGCTACACAGGGCCACGAAATCACCAGGTTGGGAATCAGGACACCATGGAACCTGGTTTTGCTTTTAACAACTGGAAGACCTATGTAGTCTTTGGACACCAGCATAGGATCCTTCAGGTCCCAGTGAAAGGCGCAGAAGTAGGAGTCACAGGCAACTGCCCAGATCAACTGAGGACTTTTGGTGCTGGAGAGCTAGAGCTCTGCATTTTTACAAGCACACAAAGGTTCTGGCCTTTGTGCTCAAGATTTGGAGATCCTCTCCTGGAACCCCCTCCAGGCTAGAGCTCTGACTGCTACAACCTCTTAATGCTCTATCTCTGGTCCTAGGCAGAGCTCTTTTGCTTCCACTTTGAGTCTCCACATTTTCCAGTCACATTTGTACAAGTCACTTCCGACAGCTGCAAGCCCCACCTGGTTTCAAACACTATGTAATGCAATAGTCACACTGGTATTTGCCCATAACTTGCTCCCATGTCAGGAAGAAAGCACTTGTCACAGTGCTGCAGGAAGTACGGGGATTATCTATCTCCCTTCGTGATCACAAAAGTGACTTTTGGGAATTGTAGACAATTCACTCATAATTTCCCAGGGTATCTAAGGATGAATTAGATTGCAGCTCTTTGAGTATCTGATGTAACTTCCTAGACCTGCAGAACAATGATGCAGGTAAGAATGTGTGGCTGGGGTGTAGATCAGTACTGCAGCACTTGCTTAGCATGCATGAGGCCCTGAGTTCCATCCCCAGCAACAAAAACAAACAAACAAAAAAGAAAGTAAACCAAGTACTTATGCCACGCATAATCCTAGCTACTTGGAAGGCTGATGCAGGAGGACTGCACATTCAAGGTTAGCCTGGGCACCTTGCTGGTATCCTGCCTCAAAATAAAAGAGAGAGAGGGTCAGAGTACTGTAGCTCAGTGGTAAGTACTTGCGTAGCATTTTGGAGTTCGTGGGTTCCATTCACGCCAGTGGGGGAAAAAAGCCAACCAGAGTTTAAGCCCTTATGATGGTTGATGTGTGTGACTTGTTAGGGTTAAATATGGTCAGGATGATTAAAGGGTTACTAATGAAGCCAAGGGCATGGCTTTGATCATCTGGAGTTCAACTGGCCTTAATGCCTTTTTTTTTCCATGGACAATCATCTTGAAAATGTGAAGCCAGGCATGGTGGCACATGTCTATAATCTCAGCTCCCTGGGAGGTTAAAGTGTAAAGTTTTTAAATGCTGAGGATCGATCTCAGGGTCCTGTGCACGCTGGGCAAAGGCTCTACAACGGAGCTCTCTCTTTTAGAATACTAACATCTTTCTTCCTGGATCCCTGAGCTCTGCCTGAGTCTCTCCAGGCCCCAGATACTGGAGTCCAAAGCTGTAGGTGCCACATACACAGGCGGCGATAGTCTCCCTGATGCCTCTGCTTTACCAAGGACCAGTGAACACATGTGTTACCTCAAATGTAAGAAGGAAAGAAAGGGGCAGGTACACATAAAGCTTACACTTAAATCAGGCAATTCCTTTGTTCATAATAGTGCTAATGACTACCACTGACTGAGTGTTAAGCTTTGTGCTAGCCCTTGGGGAAAATGATTAAATGTATTACCTTATTAATTCTTGTGCTTTTCTGTCTCTCTAGTCACCACACTTGTGCTCTAAAAAGTTTCAATGTACTTATCCCCTTCTCTAACATTTAGCAGAGTTCTGAAGATCAGATCAAAACTCAAGAGGACTCGATTCCCCAGTACCAAAAAAAAAAAAAAAAAAAAAAACCCAAGAGGAGAAGCTGAGCATAATGGCACATGCCTGTAATCCCAGAATTCAAGGAGGCTGAGGCAGGAGGATGGCAAGTTCAAGTCCCACCTAGGTAATTTAGCAACCCTGTCCCAAAATAAAAAATAAAAAGGGGTGGAGGTATAGCTTAGTGGTAGAGTGCTTGCCTAGCATGCATGAGCCCCAGCACAGAGAAAGGGGGGAACCAGAGCCATATCACTTGATTAGTGTGATTGGCATCAGACAAGAAAAGCAGAAATAGATGGGTAATAATAATCCTTTAAGAAAAGCCTTGCCATGGCTGGGGATTTATGGCATCTGCCTTAAAAGATCAAGGTCCCAAGTTTGATCCCTGGTACCAAAAGAAAAGGCTTGCCCTGGGCTGGGGTGCAGCACTTTCTTAGCACGCATGAGGCCCGGGGTTCCACTGCCAACACCAAAAATTAAATAAATTATCAAAGGAGACTCATTAAAGATAATCATGTGTCCAAATAAGGAGAGAGAGAGAAACCTGAGTGAAGGGTATTTAATACAGAGGGTAACTGGACATCTGGACAGAGACGAGAGCATGCCAGGCTCTCTGACCTGGCGACACGTGTTATAGTCCACTGACATATATCTATTACATATATGTCCCTTGACAGATGAAAGCAGCAGCAGCAGCAGCAGCAGTTTCCTCTCCCCGTACGGGAGGACAGTGCAACGTTCACTTAGTCCCAGTTCCTGCAGCCCAGGCACAAACACCCAGCTCACCCCTCTCGTGCCATGGCAGGTCAGATGACCCCCTTTCCTCTTGGTGCAGGAGCTACGAACCATGGAGGGTTCTCGCTAGGACAGGCCTGGGAGTCGCTGGGTTAGGGTGACTTCAATCTCTCCCTCTCCTTGTGCTGGGAAGGAGGTATTTCTGCCAGTGTGGGTTTTGCAAATGTGCACCCAGATAATAGCAAGAAAGCCCTGGGCTCCTTCCTGGGCCAAGTTGTGTTCTGGGCTAGACCCTGAAGCCATCAGGGTTAGGCGGAGACCCCCCACCTTCCACAGGGACCCCGAGAGTGGGGTCACAGGAAACCATCAATCTAGCAGCCTCCTGTCTTCCAGGCAAGATCAAAGTAATCTCCTCCATCCAACCAGTACCTCGCTCCTCAAGGCGGTGGTGGATAGACAGGAAGTATTTCCACATCCTACATCCTGAGAGTCCTCTCCAGGGAGACGGAAATAAAACCTTTCTCCTTCCCACTGGGAGTAGAGGTCCAGCAAAGCCCAGGCCTCGCAGGTGGCCAAGTTCTCTTAAATAGGCTTTCCTTTCCATTTTCTTCTCTTGGTTATTTATCACCTAGCCATTTATTTATACAAATATAAAATATATTTATATAGATTTATATAATACAGACTCTTGTGAGGCAGAGTGAAGGACAGTGTCAGAGGAGCGGAGCCTCCTGGCTATTTACAGATGTACTGGTCAACAATCTCGGTGCACTTTTTGCACTTGACAAAGCAGCACCAGTGGAACCGACAGTGGCAGCGCTCCACCTGGACGCTCTTGAATTGGTCGTAGCCGCGGCCACAGCACATGAGCTCACAGCCGTCCATGCCCTCCGAGGTCTTGTTGCAGAGGCGGCCCTGGGTGCCCAGGGAGCCCGTGGTCTCGTTGCGCAGGCAGTAGTCCGGGCTGGGGTCCACGTAGACCAGGTCCTCCGGGGTGGGTGGGTTGAAGCGGCCGTTGACCAGCTCCAGCTTGCCCTTGCGGGTGATCCGCATGGCAGCTGCACTGTCATACTTCTCCTTCAGCTGGTCCCCCACTTTGCGGAACTCGGCCAGCTGGAGCCAGCAGGTCTTAAGGCTGCAGGACCCCGAGACGCCATGGCACTTGCAGGCGACATCTGCCATCTTATACACAGCCTGAGGGGAGAAGGAAGAAGGGAGTAAGAAGGAGGAGACTCCCGATGGACGAGGACAAGGGAGTGGCAAGGGAGCCAGGGGCCTAGGACACCAAGCGCGGACAGTGGAGGCGAACAGATTTTCAAATACACACAGAGGCTCTTCCAGAACCCTCCACTGTTTAGGATGAAAGCAAATAAAAGGAGCACAGAACGGGGGGCGGGGGGATGCCACACACCTACAAGGATGGTGTTTGGGGCACTTTCTCTGTCTGCTTTACCTATTTCATGGTTTATGCAATGCATTACAATAAATGTCATTTTTATAACCTTGAAAAAATTTGCATTATTTTTCTTTTGTGGTTCCAGGGATCAAAACCAGGGTCTTGTGCACGCTACTTCCCCAGCCCCTCAATTTACTCACTATTTGCTTCCTTACTCCCTCTCTCCTTTCTTTCTTTCTTTTCCCTGGAGAGTCTTGCCATTTTCCCAGGCTGATCCCACATTCCTGGGATCAAGTGATCCTCCCGCCTCAGCCTCTGAAATACTGGGACTACAGGTGAGCATCACCACATCCAGATCAAAATTTCCATCATGATCAAAGTCTCAAACAAATAAATGAAAGTCAAGAAAAACGTGTCCAGATTTTGCATATTATCAGCCACAAGTCAGGAAAGAAACAATCCAATTGCTTCCAAAACTGTAAAAAAAAAACAAAAAATAAAAAACAAACAAACAAACAAAAAACACTGGCATAGTGCTGGCCAGCCAAAAGCTGCCCCAGATCCTACACTCTCTGAGTATCATGTGGTTCCTTTTCCTGCACTGCCGTTTGGTAACTAACACCACAGTCGTCAGGAACCTCCAGAGAGTCATCACATTTGTAAGCAAGAACACTTCGTCTACCCCAGCATCACAAGATGTACCTCTAGCAGAAGCTGTGCAGGTGGAGGAAGAAGGTACAACCAAGGGGAGCATGGCTCAGTGGGCATGCTATTTGCTGTGATTCATTTGAAAACAAACCTACCTGCAAGCACTGAACCTCAACGACGTGGAGTGATTTGAACTTCAGTTATCCCAAATTGAAATGTAAAAGCAGGACTAGACCAGAAAGCTGCTTCCAATGAAAAAAGCTGCTTTTCAATGAAAGCACACTGATGTGCTGTGTTGAATAACCCTGGCAGCAGGCCCAGAAGTGCAGATGGCGTGATAAAAAATGCACGTCTGCCTCAGAATGTTTTCCTGTGCCACAGCTATTGTCATCAACTGAGTCAGGACTCATTTTTCAAGGGGTTCTCTTAGATTACTTTTCATGAGTTCCCAGACCGTGTCTTTATTCAGTGCTAAGCAGAGACCACTGCAGGTGCAAAAACCAGCATAACCATCATCAGCCCACAGCAATCCTGTCAAGTCTCGCTGACTTTTTTCCCCTGGTAGGGCATTAGTCCCTCTAATTTATGGCTGAGAGACTGAAGCTCTAGGGAGTCTCAGTAACCTGTTCAGGGCCACCTGGGAGGGAGCTAGACTGCAATCATGTCTGCATTCCCATCTTGGGGCTTCAAGGTGGCTCAGAGTAGGAGACAGAGGAAAGCTCCTCCCCACGGTTAGAGGTGCTGGCACTAGGCCTGGAAGCTCCAGGCCTACAGCATGAAGGAATCGATGCCTCATCCCAACGGGCACTTCAAAGAGAGGGCTGCAAATACCCTTCTGGCCCAAATGCCCCAGGTCTGCGCTGCAGCCTGACTTTCCTCTGGAAATGGTCTTTGGTTTAGGTGGCGAGGCAGGCGTCTGGCGCTGCAGAGAGGAGGAGGCATTAAGGGTCTAACACTGTACCTTGTCACTGACCAACAAGGGGAATCGGATAAGCATCTCCACTGGGAATAAACACTCAGGGAGATTTGGGGAAAGAATCAAAGCCAGACTCCACGGGGTAAGGACAGTAATTTCAGTAAAGCAAATCCCAGAGAAAGGATGTCACTACCCTTCAGCAGACATTCATCCATCCTTTCTATGAAGACACTGTGGAGATTGTCATATGTGTATTTCTCCATAGTTTACTACCAATCATATTTATATAAGCTCCTTTTGTAGGAGAAGGCAGAGGGGACAATTTCAATGTTTGACACTCCTGACTTAAAAATGTTTTAATGCTACATCTTTCCCTGGCAATGTCCTAAGTGATGACCTTGGTATCTGACAGGAATGTCACAAGGATTAAGCACAACATTTTTATCTGACAAATGCTTAGAAACCCTTGAGTGACCAGGCAATACCACCCCCTGTGAGCCTTGCCATCAGTGCTAAAGAGGCTCCCTGCCAGACGTATTAAAAGGCCAAGAGAAAACATCTGATAAAATGTGCCTAAGATTTAGTCTGTGGCCACAATGTCAGATCCCAGATAATCAGCTTTTTGTTTTTTAAAAAATCTTGTCATAAATCACTAGTCCTGGTTATTTTCAATACCCACCACCGAGTCCTCCCCAGACAACTTTCTGTCTAGGTGTGAGGTGGAAAGTGAATGCCTTTGGCCCCAGATGGTGATGGATGGCTGAGGCCTGTTCCTTGGAGAAGGGATTAAAAAAAAATAGAGAGGGATAAGAAATCCCAACCTGGAGCAGACAGAGGGAGAGGGAGAGATAAAGGCCTTGGGAGAGGTGTGGAGACCTGAGGAAGCGGAGCCAAAGCCTGGGAGGCAAACAGAGGAAGCCAGGGAAGGCTCTGCCCAGACAAGGGCCTAGCACAAACATACACACAATTGAGAGCAATAACGTGAGGAGCTGACAAGAGTCGGGTCAAGACTGCAAGGAGAAGGGAAGAGTCAATGTCCCTGCTCTCTCCTCTGGGTCCACGGCTTGCAGGAAATAGAACCTCATCCAAGCTTCTGGTCCTCTGGGGCCATACAGGAACTTCTGTCCATATAGTCATTTGTGTCTTTCCATGTGTTGCAAGGAAGTACAGGTGGGCCGGAGATTTAGCTCAGTGATGCCATCCTGCCTGACTTGCAAGTGCAAGGTCCTGAGTTCAATCCCCAGTACTGAGGGGAAAAAAAAAGTACAGGTGGCCATCCCTGTCCTCAATAAGAGAAAAGCAGAGTGAGAAATGCCTCAAGAAAGGTATAAAATGCTCCCCTGAAGTTCAGATAAAAGAGGGTCTATAGGAAATGGAAAGATGTCAAGGACTAGGTGCTATTTGAGCTAGAACCTTTTTTGTTTTGAGGCAGAATCTTGCTGTGTTGCTCAGGTTGGCCTCAAACTCCTAGACCAAAGCAATCTTCCTGCTTTGACCTCCAGTGTGGCTGGGATACAGGTACCCACCACCATGCCCAGCAGCCAGGATCTTGGAAATGGATAGGTGGGCACTCAGGAGATAAAGAGACGATCTTAGTCCTTCTCACTAACTGTTTTTCTGCTCCTCCAGCTGAACACCAGACAGAATGTCACACAGACGACCTGGGGACGCAGGCAGCTCCACAGAGGCTCGGGATGAATTCAGCTCGCTGTTTTTAGGCTTCCCGTCCTGGTTTATACCACAGTAACTGCAGATGAGAGCCACAACTCTACACTCCTAACATTATCAAAGACTAACTCTACCCACTCACACACCCTGTTCTGACCAAACAAAATTAGCTTCTGAATACAGGAAGTGGAGACCCCAGAGCCTCTGTACTGAGCTACATCTACACCTCTTCCCCTTAAGTTTTTTTTTCTTCTTTAATTTGGAGACAAGGTCCTGCTAAATTGCTAAGTTGCCTAGGCTGGGCTCAAACTTTAGATCCTCCTGCCTCAGTAGAGTGTGGGGATTACAAGTGTGCACCACCACTCTCAACTACAAACGACCAATTCTAATTTCTACTGGAGGGAGGTCACACTATGGATGACAGTATGTGTACACGGCTCTACCGAGTCCTGTTCACACCAATACCACAAGATCCTGATCCATACAAGACATGTTCAAGTTCATTTATTTGCATATGCTCCTGTAACACAGGTAATGATGTTGTAAACTGCTGATATACAAAGGAATTTAAAAAATATATTTATCTGTTCTACATCCTGTAACTGAATCACCAGCAAACCAACATTACCCTTCTGGTCTTCTCAAGAAACTACTGTTCTCATTTTTAGTTGGTCTTCAGTCTCACTACCGCCTGGGACCCAGAACTGGGTGGCACGACACAGACCCACGTGGGGACACACCCCAAGGAAGAAGCCTGTGGTGCTTCCTGAAGGAGAGGCCCTTTGCCTACGCTCAGATCCCAGAGCTCTGTCCCACATCCTGTCAACCCAGGCTGCGATGACTGAGAGGGCAGCCTCTGGCTCCCTGTGGCAGAGCAGACCACTGTGGGACAGACACGTGCTCAGAAAGGGTCCTCCTGAGCAAGCTGCAGGCAGGAAAGGGACTACTCTCTGCACATCACAAAGGGACATGTGCTGGGTACACTCCACAAACACACAGAACTGAGCTCCCAGAAAACCTGTGTTTTGACTTTTACTGAAACTATTTCAGAAAACAGTCACCTCTTCTGTGAGATTGGTACAACTTCGTTCAGCCTTAAAAAGGCAGTTTTTTTCTCGCACTTCCACTTGTCTTTAAAGACTCTTCGCACAGAAGTGTATTTGCCTTTAGCACTCAAATGTGCTTTTTGACTGGGTTCTGGATATGAACAACAGCATCTCTTAAAAGTTCACTCTGGCTACCTGAGCCCTTAACAAGTTGTAATCCTGCATCAGGCCCAACGGTCTGAACTTCTTATCTGTTCAAATTAAAAAGTAGGGCGGATCAAGACAAGAACTCTCCTTTGTATGTCTGGATGGACGTCCTGCGAAGTACAGAAATGTGACAACTGAGAAATGGCCTGAGACGGCACAGGCCTGCACCTTACCCTTCGACCTGCTTCGTTGTTCTGCAAGTTCATGAGCACGCGGCCCTGCTCCTCTGACCCCTTGGCATAGTTCTTCTCCCGCTCCTGGGCATCCACAAACTCCTTGGCAAAGCGGTAGCCGTACTCCACATTGTCCCCACAGCCACCCCACAGCCAGTCCCGGGGCAGGTCCTTGGGCCGCGCTGTCCGGCTGCAGCCACACGTGGAGAGCTCACCCTCACGGCAAGCCCGGCTGATGGCATTGACCACACCTGCAGCACTCACAGCATAGGTGAAAGCAGTTTCCCGGCTGCCTGCAAGAGGAGACAAGGAGACGAGAGGTGTGGTGAGAGCGGCTGCTCTACTCTGCTGCAACCGTTCCGGGATGGGAGCTAGCATCGAGGGGAGCCCTTCCCTCTGCATGGCTGAATGGTTACAACTTTCCTTTCAAAGTGGGCTGCCTTCTTTCCTTCTTACCCCGGCCTCTCAGCCCTGGGTCTGCCCTACCAAACCACACACAGTCAGAGGGATCTTTCCAGGCCAGGTCTACACCCTGATCCGATGAAGACCTGTAGTCCTAGGAGGGAGACTTAATGGAGGGGGAATGGACATCTAGAAATTTATGGACCAGGCAGGACTAACAGAATGAGACTGAGGAAGAAACCATGGGAGCAACAGGGATCTGCACCCTGGCTGGAAGCCCTCCCTCCCAGATGCAGTTTCTCACTGCTCCATGAGCTATCCATCTGTCTTTTTTATTGCTTTGCCATTATGTAGCCAGGCTGGGACAGAAGCCAGGAATAGAAAGCAAACTAGAACTGCGATGTCCAGAATAATTCAAGCCGTTGCCCTTTCTCTTACACAGGATCACACTGCTTCCCACCTCGAAGAGCACTGGAGAACCACACCACCGATGATACCTACTATTTCAGACTATGGTCCCTCTCAATATCTAGATCATTTTCCGGTAGGAAATTCCAACTGTGTTCCTTTTTCTTGTGCAGCAAACCATTTACATACTCATAAGATGTATTTTTTTACTTCGATGAATATGTTTATTAAAAATAATACTCAGCCTCCAGGGAAATGCAAGTCAAAGTCAAAATGAGGTAACACTTCACATTCACTAGGATGACCACAATCAGAAAGACAGCTAGTAACAAGGCAGGATATGGAACTCTCCTGTATCACCGACAGGAATGTTAAATGGTGCTGCTACTTAGGAAAATTGTCTGGCAGGTCCTCAAAAGATTAAACAGTTACCATGTGACTCAGCAATTCCACTCCTAAGTATGATACACCCAAGAGAAATGAAAATACATGTCCACACAAAACCTTATACACAAAGATGCATGCAGCATCGTTTATAAGTCAAAAAGTGAGCAGGGCATGGTGATACAAAGTGTGATCAGCACTTGCTAGGCTGAGGCAGGAGGATCACTGTGAGTTTAGGGCCAGTTTTAACTACATAGCAAGACTCTGTTTCAAAAAACAAAAGTAAAACAGGCAAAAAGTGGCAACAACCTAACTAGCAGCAGATGAATGTATAAACAAAATATGGTATTATCCATATAGTAGAATATCATTTAGCCATAAAAATAAAGTATTGACACACACTAAACACACGTGAACTTTTAAATAATTCTAAGTGAAAGTAGTTGCCAAAGGCCACATATTGTATAATTTTATTTACTTAATTTTTGTAAGTTAGAATATTGTTTTTTTTGTTTAGTTTAGTTTAGTTTTTTTGTTTTTGTTTTTTGTTTTTTTTTGGTACCAGGGGTCAAACTCGGGTCCTTGTGCTTGCAAGGCAGGCGGCAGAACCACTGAGCTAAATCCCAGGCCCTAGAATCGTTTTCATTGGAAATAAGAAGAATAGCTCTTGGATTTCCAGGAGGGGTCCTGAGTAGGTGTCCTATTTATTGTTTTTTTGAGACAGGATTTCACTATGTAGTTCAGGCTGACCTTGAACTCATCATGATCCTTCTCCCTCACCTTTCTTGAGTGCTGGGATTACAGCACCACATCTGGCTAGTGTATGATCCAATTTATATGAAATGCTTTAGACTGGGAAAATTCACAGAGGCAAATTAGTGGTTGCCAGGGACAGGGAGGAACTAGGGGATGGAGAATAACAGTTAAGGGGTATACATTTTCTTTTATGGAGTAATGAAAATATTTTAGATTTAGTGGTGATGGTGGCACACCTTGTGAATATACTAAAAACCACTGAAATGTATTAAAATGGTGAACTGTATGAGATGTGAATTCTATCTCCATAAAGCTGTTATAAGAAACAATAATACTTTTGTGAATTCTGATATGGAAGGAAGAGAGTGATTCTTAGCAGGAAACAGATTGAATCTGATCTCATATAGAATCACGTGGAACCTCTGGCTCTCCCTTTCCTCCTCTCCTGAAGTCTCTGTGCTCAGCAAACATCACCTAGCCCTGTCTGGAGCAGCAGTAGTGTGCAACCAAAGGCCAGGCCTGGAGTCATCGCCCACTTCGCCGTCTTTCTTGGTCACCTCTGCCCCACACAGTGACATCTGCAACCAGACCACCCTGGATGAGTCAGTTTTTCTCTGTTAACCAGGGATCAGCTCTTAGTCAGTGGTGGAATAGGAATGCCCCTAGACAAACCCACTTAATGGGAGGAAGTTCCATTCAGGATGCAGTCATCAGGACTGACATCTGAACCAGTGCTGAGCAAAGCCAGAGTCAGCAATCTGTCTGGTCTGGCCGAAGGCTGGACTGTGCCAGTGAGCACCCAGGATGACAAGACAGTCGAAGAGACTGTTGGGGGCACTGGGCCCTAATTTGAGGACTTCATCCCTGAGAAGTTTTCCTAAGAGGTACCCTCAGCCCTCTGTGTGGTGTGGAATGGGAAGAAGCCTTTGAGCTAGAGCCCAGAGCTCCCCTCCATCCACAGGAGCATTCCTTTTATAGTACTCCTCAGAGAAGTGTCTGGGCTTTCAAAGCAACCCATTCCTTTTTCCCTGCTTCAGTTCTAGGGACTGAACTCAGCGCCTTAGCCAGGCATCGTGGCGTACGCCTGCAACCCCAGCATTCTGGGATGCTGAGGCAGGAGGATCAAAAATTTGAGTCCCACTTTGGCAACTGAGTGACTTAGTGAGACCTTGTCTCAAAATGAAAAAACACAAAGGGCTGGGGATATAGCCTAGTGCAAAGGACTTGGTTAAAGCTGCAGAGAGGAAAATATTTGACACAGGGGCTTACAAAGCTGCACAGGCTAGACTCAAACATGCAATCTTACTGTCTTGTCATTCCATCTTTTTAAAAGGACTCTAATCACCAGAATGTATTTTCTTATAATAAACCAAAATATGCCTCCCTACAACTTCTGCCTGCTGGAGCAACATTATCAAATTCCTTCTCCATTTGACAGCTCTTCAGTGTTTGAAAACAAGTAATATGCCTTTTATGTGCTCCCCTTCCCAGCTACATATGTCTGACTTCCACCATTCTTTGGCAAACGTGCTGTTCAGAGCTGAATCAGCCCTCTTGGAATTGTACCTGCAGCTGAATATAACACACCAGACATTGCACTCTGACAATTCAGCCTCTCCTGATGGCTCGGGATCTGAATATGTCCTCAGATACCTTAGCTGTCACTCGTAGTCACTATCTGCCTCAGCCCATCAGAAGTGGGTATTGTGAAACACTGTAGGCAGCTCTGCTTCCATGGGGAGCATCTGGCCAGCCTGATAAGTAGAGACCACAAGAGCTGCCCTCAAAGAGCTCACCTGGGGCTTCAGAGTGGATAAGCAACACTGAGGGTTTATCAAAATGTGAACAATTCAGTGTTGAAACTCAAACCACCTCAAAGACAAAAGGTTGATAAACCAGCAGCAATGGAGCTGCTGCACAAACACCACATCTTTCCCTCCCAAGGAGATGACAGGAAAATACCAGACCCTCTTACTTCCACAACCACCCAAGCTGCCTCCCAGCTCCCCAGGCAGAGGCCGGGTGAGGCACCCATCCTGGCTCCTCTGAGCTGCTCTGCTGCCCTCTGGCGATAGACTTCTGCACCACTTCAAGGTAGAAAGGAACCTTTTGGAAGTCCTAGGAAAATAGTGGGAGCTACCCTGGGAGCAGGAGGGGGGAAAAAGAGGACAGTTTTGGTTGCATGGTAAGTAGCATGAGTCTTCCAAGAAGCTACAAAAAGGAAAGGAGAAAACTGGGCAAATACAGGGTTCCAGTTTGTAACAGAATAAGGTAGAGTGAGATGTGGCTGCTTCCACCAGTAGCTCCACTATGCAAACCTGCACTCAGCAGAGCATTTATCACTGCCATTCTTCTTCTCCACTAAGTAAAGTCTCATTTTCTGTCCTTCAGTGGAACAAAATAACACGAGAAAGATCCAGCCAATGCCACGCATACATTAGGTCTCCGATAAATATCTGCTCCCAAAATGATTAGAGGATGCCTATCTGCATACCTGGGTCACCCTGGTGTCCTCACCCCAAATGACACTGAGCCTCACTATGTAGTTCAGGCTGGCCTCGAACTTGAGTGGATCCTCCTGCCTCAGCCTCCCCAAGTGTTGTACAGACTTGTGCCACAGGCCAACTGAGCATTTCTTTTAGCACCTTAAACTGATCTCAAAAGAAGAGAAAGCACAGCAAGATTCATAGTGTACTTTGCTCCATTCTTTACTTCTCAATATGAGGCAGGGAAAGAGGTCTGCAATAAGTGATCGGGGGAGGGGCCCTTCAAGCATCCCTCTTAATAGAGGGTTTCAAGATCACTAGCTCCCTCAGCTAGCTCTCAAACCCCTGTAGTACTAGAATCATTCTCGGGAAAGCACCAGCCCCAGGTAACTCCAGAATGAGCCATCTGATGGGAAAATGTCTTCTGGGAATGTAAGAAGGGGAATACTATGCTCCAACACCTTCCCTTTACGGCCCTGGGAATAAGACCCAGAAGTGGGCCGGATTTCTCAATTTCTTGCCAGGGAGGGGAAGATTGCATTTCAAAAGGACCTAAAACAATTAGACCTCAGATCACAACTCCATCTAAGCAATAGGGCAGCCATAGAACCCTAGACCAGAGGAGGGAGTGGGGAAGGGACAGGAATCTGGGAAGACTGTGGTCCTCTCATCTGGCTTCTGTAGGTGTCGTGTGCACTCCCTTAAACACGCACACCCGGACACACGCCTTTTAAATGAAAAGGTCAGCACTTGATCTGATTCAGGTTCATGACAGCGGTCATCAATTTGGCCCCAAATTTCTCTTTCTTTCAAGAGTTCAAGCAGAAGAGGCAAAAATGCTACAGACACTCAGGGCTGCAGTTGTGGGTTTTTTCCCTAAGATTAGAAAGAGCACAATAGACTTTGCACTGAGCAATGAAGTGGGCAGGGGTAGGTGGGTCTCCCAATCCACTCTAACTTGATGCAGATGTTCCGCCCCCTCCTAGGGTGAGTCACAATCTGCCTGTCCCAGAGTGCAGTTGGATAGCAGAGCCACAGGGACTTGAAATGGTCTGGTTATTAATACTTTATCAGGAATGCTTCTTCTTTGAGTACCACCCTCTCCCTTCTTGAACACTGCTTCCAAGACTAGACAGAACCCAGTGAGGCTCACATTTGAGCTTTCAGCGTGCCACTCCCAGGGGCCTTAAGTGCACTCAAGCAAGATAAGCACAGATCCTGTGGCCAAGCCACCTTTCAGTGTCACTTACCTATCTGCATGACTCTGCCGAAGACAGACGTATTGTTCACTGTGCTGCAGTTCCACCGCCTCTGCCGGAATTGGTGCTGGCACTCCCTGATGCCCGTCTTGGCCCCCTCTGCAATGTAGACCATGTGCTCTTGGTACAGTTGGCACAGCTTTCTTTGGCCAGGGGAGAGCCCCGGTAGCTGACTACACACAGGCTGAGCACCAATGATAAACATCTCGGGTCTCTGCACTGGGTTCATAGCTAATGACCTGTGACAGCAACACAGAAAGGGGGAAAAGGTCAAGGAGTGAGTACGCACCTGTGTGCAGTGTTAGGTCATTCATTCAGCTACTTACTCAACACTTTCTGTGTAGAGGGCCCTGCACCAAGAACCTGGAAGGAGAAGTTAGGTACGAAGTGTGTACCTTGAAAGGACACACAGAGGGAAACCAAGGCACAAACAGAAATGATGCATGAGATGTCAAGAGTCTGGATCCACTGTGATCAGCCAGGAAAAAGATCTTTAGAAGGAGACAGCCAGATTGTGAACTGGTCTTAAAGACTGAGAGGTAGGCAAGGAGACAGAGCGGGTGGGGCAACTGGTCATTTGAGTCAGAGGGCAAAAAGAGCCAAATGTCTACATGCCTTGTTCAAGGAGCAGGCTGACTAACTCAGTTAAGCCCAAGTGCAGTGTCCATGACGCAAAGCAGCAGTCAATTCCCTTAAGCGGAGCTCCCCTTATGCCTTTAAAATGAACCCTATTTACACACAGCACAACACATTCTGAATGTTTTCACTTCCCATTTCCCCCTGAACGTCCCCTAAACCACTGCTGATCAGCAGTTCCAGATACCTTTCTTGTGTTCACCATCAATCAGATACAATCAAGTGTTAAGTTAGATGAAAAAGCTATGGATTTGCCATCTTCATAAAAAAGCAAGCAGGGCAAAACCATGCAAAATAGGTGGTGATTATCTGCCATTTTCAGGTTGGTCTGGCAATGCCAGTAGCCTTAAGAACACAGAAAGAGCTGTGCAGAGTGGCACATACCTGTAATCCTAGCTACTTGGGAGGCTGAAGCCAGAGGATCTCAAATTTGAGGCTAGCCCACGTAACTTAGTGAGATCCTGTCTCAAATAACAAAGTAAAGAAGGCCAGGGACTTAGCTCAGTGGCAGAATGCCCTGGGTTTCGTCCTCACTGCCACAAAACAAAACACACAGAAAGAAAGTCAGGCATGGTCCTGCAAACCCCTCATCTGGTCTTTAGGCTGTTATAGGAATTTCTCTGTCAGGAAAAGGAAGGAAGGAAGGAAGGGAGAGAGGAGAAGTGGAAGAGGAGGAGGGTAGGGAGAAGGAAGGGAGAAAGATGAATAATTTTTTCTAAGATACAGTCTTGCTATGTGGCCCAGGCTGGCCTTGGAACTCCTGGGCTGAAATAATGCTTCTGCCTCAGTGTCCTGAGGCCTAGCTTTACAGGGTTATTTTTCTTCTTCAGTGCAAGAGATCAAACCCAGGGCCTCATATATGCTGTCAGCATTCTTACTAACCTAGTAATGATAAAAGCCTACTTTTAAAAGTCAGAGAGGGGCCGGGGATTTAGCCCAGTGGTTCTGCCACCTGCCTCGCAAGTGCAAGGACCGGAGTTCAATCCCCACTACCTTAAAAAAAAAAAAAAAAATGCCAGAGAGATGGGGAAAGATCCAGGAAAAAAGGATTATAGACAAGATCAGAAGAAAAAAAAATGAATGAATAATTTATTCCCAGAGAACCCTTACCTCTTAGAACCTGAGAGAGCAAAAGATTTCTCCTAGCTTTCCTGGATGAGAAAGGCCTTTCCCATTCTTAAAGATTAAGGTAGGGTCACGACCCGTTAACAAAGGAGCCCAGGCGTGGAATCAGGACCGCAGTGCCTCGAACTCACCACCAGGAGTTGGCTTCTGTCAGTAGCTGGGTCCAGCTGGAGAGCAGAGCCACAGTAAACAGCAACAGCAGGCTGGGCATGGTCGGCCTCAGCCCACCCCAGTGCGCTGGGACTGGCAGATTCCAAAGTGGGGCTCCCTAAAGAAAAGAAAAGGGAGAGTCAGTGTGCAAATGCGAGATTTCACAGAAAGGCCAGGAGAGAAGGGAGAGGTGGAAGGAAGCTCAGAGCGTGAGCTGTAGGTTGGACCTAAAGTCAAGTTCTCCCTCTAAAATCTCGGCCCCTTTCCCACCTCCACCTCATTCATTCATTTTTTAGTGATATTGGGAATTGAACCCAGGGCCTTCACATTGAGCTACATCCCTCACCCTTTTATTTTATTTTTTAAATTTTGAAACAGGAAGCCGGGTGTGGTGGTGCACACCTGTAACCCCAGCACTCAGGAGGCTGAGGCAGGAGGATCACTGTGAGTTCAAAACCAGCATGGGCTACATAGTGAGTTCCAGGTCAGTCTCAACTACATAGTGAGATCCTGGCTCAAAAAACAAAAAACAAAAAAGAAAACAAATTTTGAAACAGGGTCTCTAAATTGCTAAGCTACCCTGGTCAGGCTCCAACTTTTGATACTTCTGCCTCAGCCTCCTAGAGTGCTGAATTATAAGTGTGTTCCAGTTCCAACATCTACCTCTTACTGCTTATTTTCTCAACATAAGGCTTTTGGGCCTTTCCCCGCAAAATGTGGGAACCCTACTCCAGACCTAATTCCAAAGGAAATGAGCTAAGAAACCAGAAAAACTAAATGAAAACAAAGAGCTGGGGATTTAGCTCAGTGGCACCATGCCTTCCTCACAAGCATAAAGTCCTGAGTTCAATCCCTGGAGGTGGGGGGGGGCACCACGAACAGAAAGAATGTGCTCAGTGTGGCATTTAGCAAGCTGCTTTGGCGGCCACAGGGCACACTTGCCATTCTACAACATTCAGAGACATGAGGACCATCCTCTCTACTCTTCATTTTTTATCTCTCCCTTTAGCCCAGAGATGTACTGATCTGACCATTATTTGTAGAGTTTAAAACACTGATAAACTGGACTTGCCTTCCCTAAAATAGAAACCTTCCATCTCCCTCTGTACCCTTCTTCTGAACAGGTTTCCCAAATCTCAACCTGGTTTATTCTTAAGGAATAACAGTAGGGATACAAATGAAGACTTCTCACCTTCTCAAGGCAACATCTCCAAAAAAGTAAAAGCCGCACGGTGAATCGCGCACCCTGTATCCCAAAAGCTTTGATGGCCAAGGCCATGCTATCCTCGGTGGCCCCTTCCCTCCTCCGCATTCTGCCTAGAAGGGGCTGCATTGAACACCTCTTCCGAGGATGCATCTTCCAAAATCCATGACCTCTCGCACCACCATTCCTCCCCATACCTCTGCCTTGTGCTTTTTGTAGCTAATGCCTCTGCCTACATCTCAAAGCGCACCTTTCCTGGAGCCCTTGGGAACAGGAAAAATCCATGCTTCTGGATCCTAGGTGAGAGGGTAAAAACACGCCCCCTCCAATTCACCCCCACCTCTGTCCTCCCTTAGCTTCCCTCTGGGGCGGGACCCCACATCTCATGTGAGTCTTTCTCCCAGGACCCCTTAGCACCTCCAACACTACACACACAAATGCTGCCCCCACCTCTTCCTCACCATGCTGGTCCTGTGGCTCTGGGTCTCCAGGTTCTCCGGGAGGGGGCGGCAGGTGCTTTGGGTCAGCAGCCTATGAAATATTTTTGTCCTGGGGCTACCAAGAAAGGAAGGTGGCTCGAGCAGGATCCAGAAGAGGTGGGATGCAACCTTTGCCCCACCCCCTTTAGGTTTTCCTTCTCGTGGTCTCAGCTGGGGCGGGGGGCACCCACAGGCAGGTGTGTGGGGCCTGCAGGGTGCACATCAAAGAAGAACCTTGCTCCTTCTCCTTTGTCATGCAGAGCCTGCTCGGAAACGATCCGCCTCTAGCGGGGCTGACTAACAGCTCCCCACACCCTACTTTCCTGACAGACTTCTCCCGCCTCCTCTAAATGATGCCCCCTCCCCCCTTCCCCTCAGCCCCCCATAAATCCCCACCTCATCCCTCAGGGCAGGAGGTCTGTGAATGCATCTACTGGAACCGACCGGAACCTTCCCCTCCCCCCCATAAATCCCCACCTCATCCCTCAGGGCAGGAGGTCTGTGAATGCATCTACTGGAACCGACCGGAGAGAGAGATGGAGCAGAGATAGGGCTGGCACCAGAAGCTAATGGCTTTATGGAGGGGAGGGGACCAGGTCCAGGGTAGGGAGGACAAGAGAAAAGCTTCAAAGAGTTCCTTGTCCAAACATCCCCAACTCCACCTACCAGTCCTTCACCGGGATTATCTCCTCCTGCTTTTCGACCCTCTTCTTTCCCCCACCCAGCTCCTGGCTCTCCATCCAGCATCTAGCCTCACACATTTCTGCTACCAGATAGCTGTTTCTTCCAACGGGTGACACATCCTATCCTTGAGCTTTCCCTCATACCAGGTCTCTCACCTCTTTCGCCCGCTTCCAGTAGGCTCCGGTAAAACCTTTCTGGCACTGCAAATCCTATATTCAACAGAGGCCACATTAGGGGCCTTCTGTTTCTGAGCCAAGGACCAGGCAGCGCCTGCTAACAGTCCCTGTGGCTTTAATGGCCCCACTGACAGACCAGCTAGGGCCAGACCTCCCAAGAGCTGCAAATCCCACCCATCCTTGCCTTATAAACATACACAGCGACAGGAATCGCTCCAGTCAGCTAGTCCCACCATCCCCTGAGTTTTATCAAACTCTAAGCCTGTTAAAAATTATATTTTAGGAGGGGCTGGGGATTTAGTTCAGTGGTGCCGCCGCCTGCTTCAAAAGCACAAGGTCCTGAGTTCGACCCCTGGTACCAAAAAATATATACATATATATATTTTAGGAAATTACGTGATGGCTTTATGCTCTTCCAAATGTGCGGCACCTGAAGTTGAACACACAAACCCCCAATGCCCTCAGGCCGCTCTCTGTCCTGGTGGCAAGCAGTGAGCTACTCCTAGAGGTCCTCCAAGTAAAGCCAGGCAGCTGTTTGTCCCTCTTACGTTGACATCTCAGAAAGGTAAGTGTGGATGACTAGTGGCAGAAGGGAAACTTCCTGCCTCAGGCCAGAAGCTGTGTGGCAACTGATGACTAGGGCTCAATGAGCAGGACCTGTGGAAAGCCTGGGGTGCAGTTCACTACTGAGATTTGCAGCAGGACACAACCTCTTTAGCACAGGAAGAAAGTTAGTAAATACCCCCAGAGAGGGGGAAGTTGAACTTCTTCTGCTGCCTTTGTCACAACTGGATTTCCTCAGGGCTCACCCTTTCTGAGAAGGCAAGCATCATTCCAAACACCCCAAACTTAGTACTTACTTGAGTATGTGGGACTTAGGGCTTTAGTTTTTGGGAGATGAGAACCCATGTTCCCACGCATGCTCTAACACTGAGCTATACTCCCAGCCCAACTCTCCCTCCTGTAGTAGTGCCTCGGTGGTTGGGGGCGGGTGCAAAATTCTCAATCAGGACTCCTCTCCTGCCTGAATGAGCAGCTCAGACAGCCACTCGGCTCCACTGCCTCATCTGCTCATTTGTTCAGTAAGTTCATTAACCAAATATGCATCGAGTGCTGGCACGTAGCTCCGTGATAGAGCACTTGCCTACTGTGTACAAGGCCCTGGATTCCATCCCAGTACAGAAGGAAAAAAAAAAAAAAGAGGAAGATAGGGCCAGGGATTTAGCTCAGTGGTGCTGCGCCTGCCTTGCAAGCACAAGGTCCTGAGTTCAACCCTTGGTATCACCAAAAAAAAGGGAAGATAAGGTGATCATCTACATGATTTAGGAGCCCTGGAGAAGGGTATTCTCTGAAATCTGCCTACTTTACCCTTCTCCAAATCACTGCGCATGTGGGATGGTACAGTTTATAAACCCCAACCCCTGTAAGTCTTCTCTGTGGCATGTCTGAGGTCCCTAACTGAGACCACTCTGCCCTCATTTTACAGCGGAAACTAAAGGTGTGCACGTTTGAAAACAGGAATTTCAGGCTCTCTGCCTTTTTCTGCGAGCCTTCAGTTCCCAGTTTTCATTCCCTTAAGGGGCCACATCCTTCCAGCCCAGAGTGAGGACAGAGTCAGATGGGAGGGGCAGGGTGGGTTATGTGAGGAAATGTATGACTTAGGAAGAAAGTGGAAAGAAATTTTAGATCAGTCTCAACAATAAAACTGACTAAAGGATCATGTCCTCAGCAAGAGAAGACTACTTTGACAGCATAAAACTGAATTTATATGGAATCATTTGACATGCTGATGTTTCTGTTTTTCTTTCTCTTCAAGGCTCTGGAAATGGTCTTGTTCACCATTTTCTCTCCAGTGTTTAGAAGAGTGCCCATTTTAGTGCATGCTAGGTAAATATTTGTTGACTGGAAAGGAGATAGCCCTCTTTTGGCTCTTAAGGAAAGAGGAAGCAGGCTGTGAAGGCCAGACTCTCATGGAGACAGAAAGTCCTTTTGGCTTTCATAGACCAGCCCATCCACCAGTGAGAAAGCTGCTTCTACTGGTGTGTCCCTTTATTTGGGATCTACTAGTAATAGAGATCTTAAGATTCCAGGTCTCAGCTTTGTCTTTGCTCTTTCCTTAAAGTCAGGAGTAATATGCAGCTTTTAAGAGTAAGGCACTATTCTGCTTGATCAGATAGTGTACAGATGCTTTGGTCGAGCAGGGGAAAACCCACTCTGAGAGGCAGGACACAGGATGTGCCAGAAGAGTTCAAGAAGCAATCACAGTTGGGATGTGGGAAATGAGCAGGGCCTTAAGAATGTGTCGGTTTTACACAAAAAGCAAAGTGCACGAAAGAATTCGTGTGGTGACGTGGTCTGGTTACAGAGAGAAAATTTCAACATATTTAGTAGGAGAGATACTGCTAAAAGGAGGGCTTCCATTCAACAGCAATTACTAGGACAATTCCCATAATGATATGCCTCTAGTTTGTAGGGGCAACACTGTAGGAAAGGCACCAAAGATTTAGAGTCCTTTCCCATGAATCGATGGTTGGAAGAAATCTTCCTAGAGAGCCAAGGAGAGAAGTGAAGATGC